AGAGTGCTATAGGAACATTTACTACGCATAGAAGAATGGCTGGCAAACTGGCGCATAAAAGTCAACGAACAGAAGAGTAAACATACAACATTTTCACTCAGACCGCAAGTATGCCCCCCATTCAAATTAAAAAATGTCCATATTCCACAAGCCAATGAGGTGATATATCTAGGAATAGACTTGGATAGGAGACTAACTTGGCGCAAACACATTTCAACCAAGATACACAAATGAAGCTAAAGTCAGCTAGCGTGAACTGGCTTATAAACAGTAAATCAAAACTGAAACTAGATTATAAAGTACTTGTATATAATACAGTGATTAAGCCTATATGGATGTATGGTATTCAACTGTGGGGTAGGACCTGTGCAACCAACATTGACAGGATCCAAAGATTCCAATCTAAAACGCTAAGTGCCTTAACGGGAGCACCGTCGTATGTCCGCAATGAAAATATACATAGAGAGCTTGGTATACCGATGGTTAAATCTGTAATCGACAGCAGCAGAGAAAAATATAAAATAAAACTGCGTAACCACCCAAATCCACTGGCAAGTGGCCTGTGCAACACAACAAATATAACACGCCTGCGAAGAAGAGATCTACCAGCCTTTCATTGAGCGACGTTAAACCAACAGGGCTCAACCCCAGGGTTTGAGTTATATTATTGTAAATTAGACGTAATATTTTTAAACTTGTTGTTAGGCTTGATAGATGTAAAATAAGCAGATCCAACAAATAAATGCAAGTATAATAAAAAATAATAATTTAAACCCTTTTCGAATTCTGTGTACTCTTGTTAGCGGTAAATCTTGTTCCCATCTCATAAGCTGGTAACAAAGTATTGCCCCGTGAAATATGCAATGCCAGAATTTCCACAATTCTTCATAGCTGAATTACTGAATATTTTAACCGCTTTACCAACGTAACTAGAATCGCGGTGATAAGAACTGGTAACATTTTTTGGTAATAAAATTTTTCGGTTATAAAATCTTTGCTAACGTGCAGAATAGACCTGTAATGGTAAAAAGTGAGTCGGAGGTCTCAAAATAATCGTAATGCTTATTAAAGTCCTGGCATAGGCAACGAAAAGCATAATGCATTTCAAAATTTGTTCTACAAATAGTTAGCTTAATGGGCTTGTAATGTCTAGAAGGTCTAGAAGGAATACAAAACGTGATCTGGTTCAGTAGAAAGGGACTATTGACCATCCCGTTCAAGATCTTAATCATGAACAAAACCCCGAGCATCTCTTTACGGCTGTGAAGCGTTGGCAAATTTATGAGCTTCAAGCGGCTTTTGTACGGTGGGAGATTTAATGTCGAATCCCAAGGCAAATTGTTTAATGCGAATAATAAGAATTGTTTCTGTACCGACTCGAGTCGGTCAGAATGCGTTTGATATCTAGGGTTCCATACGACGGACCCGTATTCTAAGATCGGCCTGACTAGAGAGGTGAAGAGAGCTTTAGTGACATAAGGATCTCTGAATTCTTTAGCCCAACGTTTGATGAAAGCCAAGACGCCCTTGGCTCTATTAACACAAGAGTTTACATGGGACTTGAAATCAAGCTTAGGGTCCATGGTTACACCTAGATCGATGAAAGTAGTTACCTGATCAACACTATGTTCACAAATGCGGTAGCTATAAGACTGAAAGGGTCTTCTGGATAAACACATAAATTTACACTTCTTCAAGTTAAGTGACATAGAATTTACTTCGCACCATTTAAACAGATTACTAAGGTCCGCCTGTAATTGTTCCCTGTCTTCTGGAGCACCAATGAACTTAAATAACTTAACGTAATCTGCGTACATTAGGAAATTCGAGTATTTCAAAATATTTGGAAGATCGTTGATGAATAAAAGAAACAGAAGGGGGCCAATGTGGGGAGTGAAAAGGATAGCTAAAAGTTTTTTCATTTGGCTCGACGGAATAGTTCGATTCAAAATAATTTGCAAACATATCAGCAATCATATCATCATCACTAGAAATAACGTCATCTAATTTCTGTGTTGAGGGTAACCCATTTATTTTACGTTTGATTTTTTAAGTGCTTTAGCTCCGAGGTAAACCGGTAATTTCTTTAACAAGAGGAATGAGTTTACTGAATATATTATTCCTGATTTTACTAAAGTGTAAGGCACTGTTCTCTACATCCCCATCGTACTCAGGCCAGATTATTTCAGATATAGCTATTTTAAGCCTGTCGTAGTTAGCGTATTTGAAAGAATATCGCCGACCTTTTGGCTTTCTAGTTTCAGGACAATAACATGAATCGTAGGATGGTGCCAAGGACAACTCAAGTGGTTGGTGATAAGGGTCTATAGGTATAACTAAAGGATCGCCGCGTATTATAGTGCATTTAGTAGGATCATCAATAAACGCTAAATTAAGACATTTACCTAAGTTGTTGATAACTGAATTAATCTGATATAGAAAATTTCATAATTTAAATCAAAAGACTTTAAGTATAGCTCGGTTAATTTTGTATTTAGACCTCTAACATTTTGGTAATAAATATTGAAGAAAAAATTACTTATTATTATTAAGTTTTTTGATCCTGAGGAGGGAATTTGAGCAGTATTTTCATTCCGAGCTCGAGGTTTAAACTCAAACTATCGAACTAAAGCACCATTGGGCCAGAATGAACCATCACCAATGTTTTGAAAATGGTCGGCGGAAATATCAATTTTGAAGGAAGATATGATTCTTTGGCATGAAAAAATTAATTTTCTAATAGCTATGTGCCGGGGGTTAAGCTTTGATTTTATATAAGACTTAACATCTTCTAAGGAAGTTTCACTAGAAAAGCGCGCAACACAGATTTATTCGCGGGAACTACGATTAATTCTTTGGGCACCGGAGAAGGTCCACTTTGAGATGTAAGTTCAGACGCAGCTGTCGCTTTGCTGCAGATATAACTCAACACACGGAGAATTAAAACTTATTAATTCCTTATTTAAGCCGGGAGTAGGCAAAGAATTAATTGGCAGAATGTCAATGTCTAAAGCAATGGGATTAGGAACAATGCTGTCTCCTCCATGCTTTTTTGAAGCTTGTTTAAGCTTGGGTGGTGGAGAGGATGAAGATTTAATGCACTTAAAGTCTTTAAATGCACCCTCATATTGCCTAAACTTTTCTTTTAGAAGTTTTAACTCCTTACCCAACTCCTGGAAGCCACTTCTGGCGCTCCAAAGGTCAACTTCCGTTGATCTGCACTTGGGGCAAGACCAACGAACACCTTTGTTATCGGTTATGATATCGGCTACCCTACCATTGAGACCGGCACATTTTACGTGAGATAAGTCATCACACAACCAACACAACGCAACGCTCTAAGTCGATATTAGTGGCTTCCTGGCGGCATATAATTAATTATTTAGGGAAATGTCTGTTTAATTCTTTTTAGTGGATGAGTTGTCTTTACAAAAATACCAAGCAAGTTCACATTGCAGATAACGAATTTTTCGATTTTTGCCCACTTAGGCGGCACTGTGCGCCGGCTGGAAAACGATGAAAACAACGTAAACAGCGTTAACAGCCGGCAAACTCACGGACGACACTTATTCCACTCCCACAGGCGCAGGAACGTATATTTGCCAATTTTTTTAAAATTGAAGTGTTTTAATACGGGGTATTTACTACTACTCTTGGTCAAAATCGCAAGTGCAAAAAATATTTGTTTGTTCCGATTTTGATCGTTTCGTTTCTATTCACGTTGCGCACGGTAAGTGCATTTATTTGGGACATTAGGTAGGTCGGCTTTTGTAAACAAAAGGTAAGGTGTGCTCCACTAGTGGTCTTTTAAAACCTTTATAAAGCTCTGCATGAAAATTTTGAATTTCATACTATATATTTCGTTTAATTATAGAAAGAAGTTTTTGTAAACCATTTGATGGTGATTTGAGATCATACTTATGGCATCTTCTCAGTTTCCTTCAACAAAAAGCGCAAATGATGAAACTAAAGGCAACAACGAAACTTCATCATTTTTAAAATACTACAACTGGAGTTATTATAGACAAATACAGTGGATCAAAAAAAAATTTTAACTATAACTATAACTATAAACTATACAAAAAAGCAAATAAGCAAATGGATGTATAGAATTGACAACAACAACCACGCTGTCGAGTTTAAATAGCGGCAAATCAGCTGCACTTGATAGTAGTTGGTTGAATAAGGAAAATGAATTAGCAACAAGAGTTTACGGGATGTACATAGCTCAGTGGTTAACGCTTCTGACTTTGAACATCGAATTCGCAGGTTCGATCCCTGCTGAAGTCTAGAAAAAAGAAGTCTGATGAGGAGATGTGGTGATCTCCGAAATAGTGCTATAACTTCTACCGCTTAGACTTTGTTGCTTTTTCAATTTTTCCTAATAAACAATCGTGGTACAAAGCTCAATAAAAATATTAAAAATAAAAATGCTAACAAGCCACAATAACATTGACAAATAAAGCTTTTTAATTTTGAGTTATTCAAGAAAGTTATTCAAGTATTTAAAATGCTTTTAGCGTTAGGACTGCATTTTTTTGGTTTTGTTTTCAACTATGTATGTAAGGTGTTCCTTTCATATAAAAAATAATAAAAATTATTTGTTACGAAACAAGTAATTTTTAAGCAAAAAACAAAAGTTCAATTCTCATACAAAAATTTAAGATTATCGTTTATTTCTGCATGATCCAATGATCGGATGTAAACCAAATTAATATGGGACCACCTGTGATTACCTCACCTTTCCTTTAAAAAAAATTATAGAACTCGGTTAACGTGGTCCAAAGGTACATAAACAAAAATATTCCGACGAATTGATAACCTTTCTCCTTCTTTTGAAGTCGGTTCATAAAAAATAACAGACTTATTATTTTTGAAACGTAAAAATTAATTTTAACGTTCGGCTTCGGTTTCGGCTTAAGCCAAAATTACAGCTTCGGTCGGACACTAATAAATATGTAACTTTAAATCATATCAACGTTTAAAATTTACATTTGTAGACCGAAATGCCAGCTACTCCTATGCCACAAGGACCTAAACAGCTAACCTCTACCACGTTGGGCCAACCCCCAATAGAAGCATCTGGAAACGAGTTATTTGACGCAGATTGCTTGAAGCTTATAAATGAGTATTTTTACGGAGTGCGGATCTTCCCTGGACAAGACCCTACTCATGTGTATGTGGGTTGGGTCACAACACAATATCACCTTCATAGTAAGGAGTTCAACAAATCGAAAGTACGTTGCGGCTCGGTTATTATTGAGGATGAATATGAAGCAGTCATGGAACGCATTGATCGTCAGAGCTGTTATGTTGTAAGGGCTGATGAACTTTTTAATGAAGTAACGCAAGATTCTTCCGGAAAGGGCGCCTCCCAGGTAAATATGTATATATCATTACAGACAAAAGATGAATATAATTTATCAATGCTTTAGGGAATGTTTATTGGATGTTTTGTGGACACATCTACTGGTATAATTCGGTTTACGTGCGAGGGAAAAGAAACATCTCACCGCTGGATGATGGAACCAGATACGAAGCTTTTCCCAGCGATTTTTGTGGAAGCAACCAGTAAAGAAATATTGCAAATTGAATTGGGGCGCACATCTACGACTTTACCTCTATCTGCTGCTGTATTGCCTACAAGTGATAAACACATAAATCCTCAGTCGCCTCCTCGTCTTAAAGTTCAATGTCTCAGGCCTCACCAATGGGCACGTGTCCCAAATACTGCTCTTCAAGTACATGCTCTTAAACTTTCCGATATCAGGGGTTGGTCTATGCTATGCGAAGATCCTGTGTCAATGCTGGCGCTTCACATACCAGAAGAAGATCGCTGCATTGACATTTTGGAATTAATAGAAATGGATAAATTACTATCATTTCACGCCCATACACTCACGTTATATGCTGCTCTTTGCTATCAATCTAACTATCGTGCTGCTCATGCTCTTTGCCAACATGTTGATCAAAAACAACTTCTTTATGCTATAAGGTCAGAATATATGAGCGGACCTTTACGTCAAGGCTTTTATGATCTGTTGATTGCCCTTCATTTGGAATCCCACGCTACCACTATGGAAGTATGTAAAAATGAGTACATAACTCCATTAGGAACTGAGCTAAAAGAACTATACAATGATGAAGAAATGTGCCACTCATTACGATCACTCGTAACAGAATCTGTGCGTCCACAAATGCGAATGACTGAGATAACGTAAGTATTGACACTCTTTAATTCAATCCACCGTGACTTAGAGATAACTTACCCAACGACCGCCACATCCATTTTAAAAAAATTACAAGGTAAAGCCATTCCCCCAATTGGTCGGCCATGATTTTTTTCTATCGTTTGCAAGCATTTTAAAATCATATAAAATTTAAAATAAATTAAATTGTTCACAATTGCTGTTGCTTGGGGTTGAAAATGAGAATATGTGTGTGAGTTTGAGTCTGTGATGGAAAAGTGGTCACAATAGTGCCATTTTTGGCACTTTCATTCACAAGGGCACTTTTGGCACAATCCATTCAGTTTTGGCACAATCATAAATTAAAGAAATTTAGCCAGTATATAACAAACAATCATATATTATTGATAGACTCGAAAAGTTAAAAGTAAAATCACTTAAAAATTAAAACAAGTAATTTTTAAGCAGAAAACAAAACCGACTTCAATTCTCATATAAAAATTTAAAATTATCGTTAATTTAGTCATGATCCAATGATCGGATTTAAACCAAAATAATATGGGACCACCTGTGAGGTAACACCTTTCCCTCCAAAAAATTTAGTATTATAGAAATCGGTAAACGTGGTCCTAAGTTATGCGGTAACATACATAAAAAAAAATTTAAAAAAATATTCCGTCGAATTAATAACCTATTCTTTTTGTGAAGTCAGTNTAGTCATGATCCAATGATCGGATTTAAACCAAAATAATATGGGACCACCTGTGAGGTAACACCTTTCCCTCAAAAAAATTAGAATTATAGAAATCGGTTAACGTGGTCCTAAGTTATGCGGTAACATACATAAAAAAAAATTTAAAAAAATATTCCGTCGAATTAATAACCTATTCTTTTTGTGAAGTCAGTTAATAAGGCTCACTATATAAAATTAATAAAAATTATTGAATGTAAAGAATAGTCAAAACTAGTCAAAATGTCGCACTGAAATTATTTCGAACATAGGTGTATGTATATGTGTAAACAGATCCGAATGGGTATATTTCAGTGTTTTCCCCCTTCGTAATTGTAATATTGTGTTTTTTATTTTAATTTATTGTATGTAACTTTTTAAAGACAAGTACAAACTTAGATCTATGACAACCGAAGTCATCAGCTTGTATACTGTGTTATTTTACTATGATTTTACCCTAATAACACAGTAGGGAGGCAAAAATATCACGGCCAAATACGAAAACTTAATTTTGGCCTCTAGATTACGATGGCGTTTTCAGAAAATCCGTATCACGTCAAAATTTTGAGATATTTAGGGGGGAAGTTTTAGAATTCTGAAAGTGAATTTTTCGTCGTTTAAAACACTGTGCTCAGGTTTTGAATTGTTTTCTGGGCAAAGGTTTTGATAACTGCTCTTACTTAACTGGGATCTTTTAAATTCAATGGTGTCCTCCGTTTTTCCAGATTGCCTCTAGTTTTCGAGTTAACGGTGCTTGAAAATCTGCTTAAATTTTAGGTTTTTTGTTAATAATTACCTCAGTTTTAAAGTTATTTTACTAAACTTTTACACGTGACTGTATTTTGATATTACCTTAGCTATTTCTGAAAATCATGGAAATCGGTTCACTATAACATATAGCTCCCATACAACTGATTGTTCAGATATGTGGTTTCGCGTTACAACTCATATTTTATTTCGTAATATTTTTTTATAATAGTAGTTTATACACTGCTTGGACCTGAATTTGGGTTCTTTTCAATCCCACTCTGGCATATTTTTGCAGTCTCTGTTGTACGAATGGCAGTCTATACCGCGTCTAATTCACATAAGTTAAGAACCAAAAAACACAAACTGAAAATCTACGCGCGCGATTACTGTCATATTAATTGATAAAAAACATCGAAAATTTTGCGAAAAACTTTTATTCATCATATCATTGTCTTCGGAAACTCCTAAAGATGAAAAAAATTAAAAAGCTTTGCAATAAATTAAACAAGTTTTGTTTCGTTTGTGGTAAATTCGTTTTGAAATCAGACTAGCGTAAATTAGTCTCAAATAAAAATGCACTAGCATGCTATAAATGGTACTTTTTGCAATCTGAACCTGCACAAAATAAATAAACTCCCGAATTCACATGTATTTCGTGCATTAGTGTGATGAATTTTTGATGGACAAAAAAACGATTTTCGTTACGATTCGGTTTACCAATGATTTGGACAAGTCCCGGAAAACACGAAGTTGAAAATTGTTATGCATGCACCAACAATACATTTGGTTTCAATCGAAAANAACTCCCGAATTCACATGTATTTCGTGCATTAGTGTGATGAATTTTTGATGGACAAAAAAACGATTTTCGTTACGATTCGGTTTACCAATGATTTGGACAAATCCCGGAAAACACGAAGCTGAAAATTGTTATGCATGCACCAACAATACATTTGGTTTCAATCGAAAAAGTAAGTAAATTTAAATAAAACCATGAAATTATGTATAGTTTGCCCTCACCTTAATCGCTGAGTGTATGAAATAGGTAAAAGTTTCTGTATGTTTGGAAGGTACCACGCCTAAGTATAACCAACCGTGGAAAGTCTGCAGCAGATGTCCAAATTAAAAAAAAAATGGTGCAGCACTTTTTTAGTTTTTGTCCGCCGAACACACAAACTTAACATTTGTATATCGATGGCTGAGTGGAAGATCTACCTATCTCGGCAGCCAGTTCGAAAACGCCCTATCTCCGAAAACTTTTCAACAACGCCCTACTTCAGAATTTGATTGAAGAAAGCACTATTTCAGAATTTTATTGAAAACATCCTATCTCAGAATTTTGCTGAAGAACGCCCTATCTTAAAATACATTGAAAATGTGCTGAGATAGGGCGTTTTTAAATCGGCAGCTGAGATAGGTCGATCTTCCACTCAGCCATCGATATACGCATATACTTATAAATATTTAATTCAATATATCGGTTTTGTGTCATCTACAAAGGTGTACCGAGCGCTCATTTACCTGTTGCACATAGTGATGCATTACAAGTTCCAAATCATCCATCCGAACTCGAAACTGTCTATGATTGNTAGGTCGATCTTCCACTCAGCCATCGATATACGCATATACTTATAAATATTTAATTCAATATATCGGTTTTGTGTCATCTACAAAGGTGTACCGAGCGCTCATTTACCTGTTGCACATAGTGATGCATTACAAGTTCCAAATCATCCATCCGAACTCGAAACTGTCTATTATTGCAAAGTCTATGGCAACGCCATTACCACTTGATGATGGATCTGATTACATTCCGATTGGACACAATTTACCGTCTTTCATATCCCAAGAACACCTAAACAGCATGGTGCGTAAATTAAATCTCTCCTATAACAACGCAATGATTTTGGCATCAGAAGTGAAAAGCGTGAATGTTTTAGCACCAGGAGTAAACAAACATAGACAAGATCCGTTTATGCCAAATTTCAAGTTATCGGAAGATGGCACTCAGGCTTATTGCATTGGTGTTGCAGGTTTGATGAATGGAATGGGAATTACTGACTATAAACCCGAACAATGGCGTCTCTTTATTGACGCATCAAAGCGAAGTTTCAAAGCAGTCTTTCTCTATCGCCATAGTAGCAAGAAACCCGTTCCCATCTTGTATGCGGTTGGAATAAAGGAATCATACGAAACAATGCAATTAATCTTAGATTGCATCAAGTACGAAGAGCACAGATGGCGCTTGCACTGTGATTTTAAAGTTCTCTCACTACTATCAGACATGCAAACGGGCTACACTAAATACTGTTGTTTGTTCTGTCATTGGGATAGTAGGGCCAAATGCAATCACTATACCAAATGTGATTGGCCAAAAAGAAAGGAACAATCGATTAGTCAATTCAATATAGTTCATGAGCCCTTAATAGCGCTAAATAAAATCATGCTTCCCGATTTACATATCAAACTTGGTGTTGTTAAGAATTACATCAAACAGTTGGTTAGAGTCAACGAAACTGCATTCCTATATTTGAAAAACAATGCCTTTCCAAAACTTTCCGATGAAAAAAACCGCTAAGGTAGTTTATTGATTGTATATGAGTGAAAATCTCTCAAGTGGTTGTAAACCGAAAATATCTTGACCCTCCAAATTTGGGTGGCCCATTTGAGAGATTTTCGGTCATATATTTTATTATATCTCTCTCTTGCTTTAAAACCCCTATAATTTTTTATTTCAGGTGTGCTTAATGGGCCGAACATCAGAAGATTAATGAAGGATCAAGGCTTCTTGGAAACTCTTGATGGCACAGCAGCCGTTGCATGATATGCAGTTCCGGCTTTAATTAAACACGTTCTGTGTAAAAATCGTTCACCCGAATATACTATTTTTATTGCGAACTTGATGGAATCTTTTGACGCCTTTGATGTGCACATGTCGCTTAAAATCCACATGCTACACAGTCACTTTGACTTTTACGAGCAACAGCTTTTAACAGAAACCGACGAGGTAGGAGAGAGATTTCACCAATCCATTATGTGTTTTGAGGACCGTTCGCTGGAAAACGATTGAATTCAATGTTGGCGGACTTTTGCTGGTCGATCGCAGGAGGCAAAGGATATTAAAAAATCATTCGAGCAATAGAAACTAGCAAAATATGCCAAAACGGGATTGAAGAGAACCCAAATTTAGGTCCAAATAGTATATAAACTAANCAATCAGTTGTATGGGAGCTATATGTTATAGTGAACCGATTTCCATGTTTTCAGAAATAGAAATATCAAAAAACCTAAAATTTAAGGAGATTTTCAAGCACCGTTATCTCGAAAACTAGAAGTAATCTGGAAAACGGGGGACGCCATTGGATTTTAAAGATCCCAATTAAGTAAGATCAGTTATCAAAACCTTTGTCCAGAAAAAAATTAAAAACCTGAGCACAGTGTTTTAAACGACGAAAAATTCACTTTCAGAACTCTAAAACCTCCCCCCTAAATATCTCAAAATTTTGACGTGATACGGATTTTCTGAAACCGCCATCGTAATCTAGAGGC